TAGTTCTGTTACAATCGGTTGACTGGTCGACTGTTGACGAGATTCGAAAATATCTGGAACCATTCCACGTTATGGCCTCAATGTTTAACCATAGGTCTACAGTCACCTTTCACATGGTACTTCTTGCCTACCGTTATGCACTCTTTAGTTTGCTTCCTTGCTTATTTTTCATAACACTTTCATTCCCAAGTTACTGTTCCGATTTCAAAGACGGCGCAGAGGGGCAAGTTCATTCGCTTGCAGTTTTGTGGTATTTTAGGTGCAGCCAGAATGGTTTGCACTGATTCACGAGTTTTCGTCGGATATCGAAGAAAGTCGTGGCAGTGAAGATACTTCGGTCTGGATTAATGATTTGAAGCGTAGAACTGAAATTAAATTGCGAGATGCTACTGAAACGGTTATCACTGCTGAGCATCGAATGGCTACTGTATTAAATCCACGTCATAAGCATTTGCCGGTCATCTGTTCAGACTTGGAGAGGTCTGTTTCGTTTCCTAAAAATTTTGATTACACTGCATCTGTCGCACTCCTTCCCCTGCAGTGCATTGCCTTGCAGGCTGTGCCAAGGTGCTAGCTGTATCTTTTTCATAGTTTTGCGGAGCTGATCGTGCACACAACTTAAAGATTGATACAGTTGTTTGGTTGCTGTGACTTCTTCCTTTCTTATTTTAGCTCATTTGCTTGATTTTTTTGCGATCGAACCGACTTTTCGATGCAGATTTTTTTTATACCACCAGGCGTTGTTTTTCATCGTAATCTTTCCGGTCGTGAAACTTGCGTTTTTGACAAAATTTCATTTCTTTCAACTGAATTTCTCTCCTCATGATCCAACTTGTCAATTTTTCTTTCGTCGCGTTTCTCAGTGCTGACAGTTCCACCTTCCAGTTTTATTTGGATAAGCCAACTACTGTTTTATAAATCAGTGTAGATTGTTCAAATCTCAGGCTGGAAACGTATTCGAGGATACGAAAATTGATTGGAGCGCCTGAATCGAACATTGTGAAAGGTGAGAGTAATGCGACGACTGGCAACCAAGGTTTTTGTTTCTGATCCTCCTCTGTGTTTTTAAATTCGTGTAAAAATTCTGTTTCATGCTCGTTTACTATAACTCGAAACTAAAATAATCTTTTTCCTAGTTAATTTCACTGCTCAAAAAGCATCTGTTACTGTTCACTGGTTGCATTACATTTGGTATGCGTTTGTGATTGACATAAAGTTCTTCTAGGATCTGACAACGGTGAACCTCCGAAGAAGCGACTGTCGTTTTTGAGTTCGCTGGAAGATCATGCACTTATCGATGATGAGCTTGAATGCTATCTTCGATCGCAATATCCAGCGCTACAGACAAAGTAATCCCTTTTTGATTGTAACTAAGAATGTTTACTTTTGCATGATTACAATGGAGCCTGGGTTTCAATCTAATGTAATATGGAGTATAAAAGCAACGATTTCTCGTTGTATTACCAGTTATGTTGTTTTGAAAAGAAGCGTAAAGGTTAGCGCGTATTGTGGAGGGAAAATGAGTAAGGACTGACAAGGCATGGAACGATGTATGGTAAGTGTAAGTTAATGCATAACGTCTAAGGTGAAGTACTACGCCTTTGGTTTGGCGCAAACAATATTGTTAAGGCAGTATACGCCAGGATGAAGAGGTGAAGTAAACGTACAGCAGGAGTAAGGGCAATAAATGAACAAAGATATAACTGCACGTTATTTTTGCAGTATTAACACTGGGAAGGCTAGGCAGTATTAACACCGGAAAGGCCGCCACTGCAAAGCAGAGATCCTCTAGAACACTTAATTGGAGCTGAATTATCCGTAGAATTGTCACACATTAGAGAGCTATGAAATTGCTAGCTGCTTGATTGGAGAACTGCTGCTAATCACAGTGAAGAATAAATAAGTAAATGAATGGATGAATAAATACATACATGTATGCATATATATACATATATATATATATATACATATGTATATGTATGTATGTGTGTATTTATGTATGTATACGTATGCCAAGAGCACTAAGACTGCTTGGGCTAAATCTGTGTGTAACCATTGTTAGTGATGTTGCCTTGATGCTGTCTTACGTCCAGCACAGCTACGCTACGCTGCTCCATCCTGGAATGCTCTTTACATATATATAT